GTGTGTGTGTGTGTGTGTGTGTGTGTGTGTGTGTGTGTGTGTGTTTGTGTGTGTGTGTGTGTATTTGTATATTTTTTTTACTCGGCAATGTAAAGAGTTTTTTTTACTTATAAAATGTTTCCATTTAAATCTAAGATAAAACTGAAATTGATGAATCATCCTCCAAGCCTTTCAATGTTTGGAGTAAAATCTTTGGCTTAACGGGTTAAACACTTCTTGGTCAAAAATGTGACTTTGTGAAACAAAATTATGCAAGCGTTTCTTGCTAGGATGAAAAGTGCTGATGATTGCAGAAGCCAAAAAGCACATGTGAGACAGCCAGCCTTTTCATTTATATCTCTGGCTCTCCATTCACTTGTTTCCTGTCTGTTTGGCTCACCGTGAAATTGGTTGTGGATTATTCAGGAAGAAAGCAGGTGCTTCCTCTCTTCTTTCATAAAAAAAGGGTTGGATGAAAGCAATGAGAGGGTAAGAATGAACCAATGCACAGAAGAGTGGATAGATCCTCCATTGAGAAGAAAGAGCAGGATTGCCTGTTTACTTTTTGCAGGATGGATAGTTAGAGGGGCAGATGAATGAGTGATAGGAGAGGAGGGAAAAGCTGGATGGATGGAGTGGGTCAGGTAGTCCTACCTGGGATAATGCATCTCTACTGCAGGTTTTAATGGTATATAAAAGCCCAAAACTCATCTTTTATTCAGTTAAAGAGCCTGACAGGTGAACACATGTCCCAAGAGGATGCACAGATACAAATATCTATATATGAGTGTGTTTTCAGAACCTGAATGGACTTAAAATACACACAACATTTTAAGCTGTGTTAACTCAAAGAGGCACTAAAGGTAGTTTGTTGCATTTGAGAAAGGTGTATTGGTACACTTGATGTGTTTATATATAACTTATATTTTAGATGCATTTATACTTCTGTTTTACCACGGTTTACACATACATTCACTCACACGCACACAGATGTGAGGTCATGTGTGTGTGCTCCTTTAGGCTTCTGTCCTGAATAGGTCTGCTCCCAGACATACAGTGGTTTGCAAAAGTATTCATACCCCTTGAACTTTTCCATATTTTGTCACATTACAACCACAAACATAAATATATTTCACTGGAAT